ACAACATGCATTCCTTAAGAATTACGGGCAGAGTTGGTTTTTACATTGAAGTGAATTGAATTAGAAATCTCAGTAAGAGAAAGTCTGGGTAAGACCAGCTGAAGATTCGAGATGGCAATGCCACTCTGCAACATGTGTTCCTTAGGAATTGCGTGCAGAGTCGGATCTACATATGAGTGCTCGGAAACATAAAGTTTTTAATGGTATGAGTTGGTTAAGACCAACTGGAGACTCGAAATGGTGATGCTACTCTTCAACATGTGTTCCTTAGAAATTGTGGACAGAGTCGTATCTACATAGGAGTATGGTGAAACGGAAAAATCTTAGTGGTTTGAGTTTGGAAGATTTGAATCGGTGATGTCACTCTACGACATGCGTTCCTTGGTAATAAGAGGCGAAGTCACATTTATATGGAAATTGATCGAAACATTCGAAGTTCATGTTGGAGAGAACGAGTAAGCGCTAGATGTTGCGAAGTGTAGTAAGTGTTATTTTGGTGGATCGAATCAATGTCCTCTGACTCATTCCTGCTAAGGAAATTAATGCGGATCCTTAGAACAATTCTTGGCGATTGTTCTATCAATAACCTTCTTGCTTAATCTAACCACGAGGTTAGGTTAATTAAACATCGACTATTAGTTGTACGTCAAATTCTTCGAACATTGTTTTGTTAAGGTATATACTTTTCTTGGGAGTTTCTTTGGTAGCTGACGTTATTCTCATCAATTTCCAAAAGGGGTTAGGACCGTTGGAAATTGAAAATCCTCACAAGGCGTTGTGAAATACGAAATGTCTTTGGTCTTGTCAAATTCTTTCAGCAATTCTTAACTATTCCTGGAGCTTAGACCTATTTCCTTTTTGGCTAAGAAACCAGTTAATCTTGTTATGATGCTGACGGTGAACGAAGTTTCTGACAACGGGGTATTATCTCAGCTAATCGTAGTTCTTACACGTTTCGAATTATGCGGTGGTGTATTATTAAATGTTTGGTTGCACACTGATGCAGTAGAATCAAGTCACGTGTGCGTCTCTTAACGATTGGAACTGCACGATATGAATCATCCTATCTTTGAACTAAAGCTGATAACGATCTTTCTTGATGTAAAATCTGGTAACGTTTTCTCTACAGTGAGAACTATTGCATCCTTTTGACCAAAGAAGTTGTAGTGTGTCTTCACACATAAATTGTTGAGTTGGTGACAAATGAGGTGGATGAAACTTATCGATGATTTGATTGCATCTTTGAGTACCATTATGGTTAGGCAACTATCGTAATCGATGCTCTTAGTCAGAATTTCACTAGGGATGCGAATGAAAATGGGCGAATGTCACCATAGATTTCCAGTACAAACCACCTTGTACACATGGAGACTATGATGATGTTTCGGTATTTGTTAATCAACTCACTCGTCGTATTATCTACTAATCCGCGAGGACTATACTTTTGACCAATTGGTAGAATTCTTCATCCTAGACTTTGTTAGAATGACGTCTCAATTATCATCAATTTTGACCGTGATCTCAGTTTCACCTTTTGGTCCTAGAAAACATTACAGTTAACTTTGGGTTTGTGCTTACCCTACGACACTTCGTATCATTTCACTTCGTATCTTTTCTATAGTAGATAGACTATTCAGGAGGACTACTCAAATCCAAAAGTTTTAACCGGGACCACTAGTCATTTAATCACCCGTAACATCCTATTGAGTGAATCATTACCACCGGTGATTGAATATCCTTGAGATTATCGTTCCCTAAGTTTATCATTGTAATAAGTTTTATGAAAGTTGGATGGAGAAAAAGTTTGAGTTCCTGTCTATCAGATTACTTTAGACTATCACCGAGTCAAGCCCACACTCAACCATCCCGACTTACCACCATAGAATCAAGTTAGGTACTTACTCGTATTCTTGCATCAAAGCTACGCATTCACTTTGGTTATCTTGTTTCCTAGCTTTGATGGATTTGTTTGACCCTTAAATTCTTGTGTGTTCACTTAGCCTTTTCGGCATAGCTGTTTGCTAAATTCGAGAGAAATTTTTCAATGAATCAGCTTGCATAAGTGTTGCGAATTACATTGTTTTAGATCTCAGTGTATCATCACTTTTGTACCTCATCGTGATGCGTGTTTCACTTCTAGGTTTTGTGAAGTTCTTGTGAATGTCTTGAGTACTAAGTTGTTTGTCCCGTATCGTATTTTTATTTGCAAACTGTTGGACAGTCTTGAACAAACTATTTAGATCTTGAAAGACGTGTTGCGTTCTTTTGATTTGTGGTTTCTGAATGATTAGATTTTTCACTGATCTCTTTGGGAGTAGTTACAACGATAGTTTTATTTTCAATTTATGTATGACACTATTTGATAATTGGTATGATAAATTCTATTGACAGCGTTGGTTGGACAGTAGAGTTCTGCGAACTAGTTTTCGGATGTTTGATTTTATGATTTGAGAAACTATGTGCTTGTGTTGTTGTTGACTTAGGATTGGACAAATTGGTATGTTTGCACCCTTAGGAAATTACTACTTCCTTATCGAGACAACAATGTGTTGTCAGTATAGCGGGCGGCCGACTGTGATATCATTGGCTTATTCGTTGGGTTCGTCAAGTAAGTGGACAGGTATACCCGTCTACGATAGTTGTCACTGTTTAGTTATTGTTGGGGCAGGTCCCAAAGACACACATGTTCTCGAAGTACGTGATGTTATGTATGATTGGGTGGACCCATTTTCATTTTCGATTTTGATCTTTAGTACAAGTATTTTAACTTACCTTATTATAGTAATATATTTATATTTTTTATGTTACAAATGTTCAGTTGAATCTTTTCCACTTTCAATTTTAATTACAGTACCAGTTTTTCGACCTCTATGTTAGTACTTATTTATTTTGACGTTATCGTATTAAGCATACATATTTTTTACCATACGTTATTACGCAATTTCGACTTTATATCTTTATAAAGTATGTTTCTACTTTTATATTGATTGGGAAGATAGTAGGAGCTTGGAGGCATGAAAGAGGATTTGGAAACCCACTCACGACAGGGTGGCATATCCTCTTTTATGCAACCATTTTGACTTGATTTCTCTCTATAATATATCATTTCCTATATTCGAGTTTTTATGTATAGTACGTTATTTCAAATTTTAGGACGAAATTTTCTTAACGAGAGTAAATTGTAACAACTTGTCCCATAATTTTTGAAACGGAAGGGTAATTTTGTAATTTCACTAGAGTTGAGATGTTTATTTTAAAGTGGTACTTTTGGGCTTTAATTGGTGTGCCACGTGGGGCCCACCTTGACAATTTGGTCCCCCCTCCCAGCTCACTTTCCCTTTCATTTCTCATTTCTATTCCCGTGTTTCTCCCATAACCTCCCAGTCCTCTCACTTTCTCTCCCTTTTGCCTTTAGCCCCCAAGCCCCCTTTCCTCTGCAACTTCCCTCTCCCTTTGAACTGGACACACGCATGCACAACCACCATCATTCTCTCCCCTTCCTGCTTGTTCCACAAAACCTGGAACAAAATGACACCGTATCATATGAACGTGGTTTTACAATATGACATTTTAGTTACTGAGCTCCGATTGAGACATATATATATATATATATATATATTAGAAATATTATGTTTATGTTTATGTATCTATTTAGTAATTACTCGAACGATACTGCCTACGAGCGAATGATATCTTTATATGGCTTCGGTTGAGTGATGTAAGGGCCTATGAGTCAATTGTGATCATTTGGTTGGTGCCAACTGGCGGGAGATATAAGATTGGCTTCGGGCGGGCGTTTGGTTGGTGCCTACGGTCGGGAGATATAAGATTGGCTTTGGCCAAGCATTTGGTTGGTGCCTATGGGCGGAAGATATTTATATTGGCTTCGATCGGGCGTTTGTAGATGGCTTCGGTCAGGAGATGTTGTGCCTTCGAGCGAATGAAGATATATGTTTATATATATATATTTATTTCTTTATTTATATATATGCCTTGTGCTACTGCTACTAAGCAACCTATATACGATATATGTTTTATGAAAGGTTTTATGGCATGTTTGGGTTTTCGAAAAAACCTATTACTTATTATGTTATACGAGTTTTCTAAACCTGGGGGCTAGTACGTTAAAGATTAATTGTTTTAGTATTACTTATATATCAACTTGGTCCACTCATGTTTTGTTTTACGCCCCCTCAGGACTTAGATTCGAGGCGTACAATCTCGGCGTCAAGGCACTCTCATATCGGCATCTTCGAGTCCTCTCGGTGTAGGACCCATCTCTTTGTTCATTCAATTTTATATTATTCCTTTTTAGTGCCTCAGATTAGTTGTATGCTTTGAACACGTTCCATAATTGCATATTCATTATAATTAAATTTACAAGTTGTAGTTATGTCGGTTAATTGTTTCTAGTTCTCATGCATCCTAATATGACTTTGTCACATTCGGGTGTCAGTCAACACGTGCCTACCCTAGTGTTTGAAGAATATCAAGGTCGGACGTGTCATTCTCATTATTGCTAGTTCATGTTGGTCAAGGGAATTTAAGCTAAAATAAGATTGCATGGTAACGTTATATTTTGATCAGGGTGTAATCTCAAGGAGTTGAACCCTCACTAGCAATAAGATCAATGATATTACTTTTACCATTGGCTTTTCTTCCCGATAAAAAGCCGTACATGGCAATAGGCAGCTCCATTAACTTATACGACATGGATATATATTTTATGATCCCTCGGACAATATACATATACACATGAGAAGGTAGGTAATTTATGATTATATTAATTTTAGAAGCAATATTACATATTGATGCAGGAGTCCTTCAAGCCAATATTTAATGTAGGGGCAGAATAGAATCACTACATTAATTTTCCCTAACGATTAATATTAGCAATAATAGGGGCCCAAACAAGGACCTCTATTAATATTAGCAATAATAGGGGCGGAATTAATTTTCCCAAACGTTTTTTGTAATTTGAGCGGGAGATGAAATTTTGGGGGCGTCAAATTTTTGCCAAAATCAACAAGTTTTTCACAATTAAATTGCCGGTAACAATTTTTAAATTGTTTTAGACTCAGACGAAAAATATATTCATTTAAAAATTATGTTAATATATAAATAATTAATTACTCTAAACCCTATTACTCCATTTCTCTTCTTCCTGCGCCGCATGATCTCTGTCACCAGATTGTTTTTTTTCCCTTCTTCCTCCCTCTGCCGTCCCTCCTCCTTCCACCTCTCCTGCACTATGTATCCCCCCCGAGAAAGTGAAGGAAATATCGAAAGAAAGGTTTGCATTAATTCAACGGAGAGCAAAACTTGTTCTTTATAGTTTCATTCAAGGTTATTTCTCCTCTAAACTTTCTTTTACGCAGGTTAATTTGAGGATGGAAGAGGTTGAAGTGCAGTTGGTTATATATTCCTGAATCGATATGTTTAAAGTCCTTCACAAAAAATTTTATTGTAGAGGTACGTACTTTCTAATGGATTTTGTTTGTGGATTTTTCTTTTGTACTTATAGATTTTGCTTGTAGATTTAACTGTATGTGGTATTGAAGTTTTATTATTGTTCTATTTGTTTTATAATTGCGGTTATGATTTAGTCGAATAGTTGTTCTTCGCTATATTTACAGTTGCTAATTGAGAAAGAACGCAAGTTGAAATCTTTCGTCGTGCATGGAAGTTAAGAGAAGAAACGGTTTCGAGATTTATTCTAGACAACTTCATCAGAGGTTAAGAACAAGGGATTGAAGAAAAGGTTTATTTTTCTGGAGAAGATGAAGAGTTGTGTTGGGTTTTGTAACAGATGAGAACAGGGAATTATTCAAAAGAAATTATTTGTCAACCAAATAAATAATATTTTATTGATTATGTGTGTGTGTGTGTGTGTGTGTGTGTGTATTTTATTATATTGAAAGTATTTGGGGCGGAATCATTTGCCTTAAATGGTTGAAAGATGTTAGTGGAATACTTTTAAATAAGATTTTCCAACTTGGCAGATAACACTAATAAGTGCAGAAATTTGACACTATTCACCCCTAATAACAATAGCAACCCCTCTTTTAGAGGGGAATATATTTTCCGCCGCTTCTTTCTATTGGGGACGGTTTTTCAAGATATTTGCCCCTAATAAAGACTTTTAGATGCAAATTTTGTTGCCCCTCCCTTTCCACTGCCTCCATTAGCACTAGCACCGTCACCAACATCCCCTCATTTGCCAATGCCACCACCTTTGTTAATGCTACCACCAGTACGTCCACCTTTTCCAATGCCGACACCAACTTACCTTCCTTTGCTAATACGTCTGTCACCTTTAATTATGCAAAAATGCTACTTTTACTATCTAGTTGTATTATCATTAATATCATCTCTCTCTAATAGAGATGGAACCCACATGCTTTGGCGGGACCTATCTCTATTAGAGAGATGAAACAAATGATGAAATAATTAGGTGATAAGTGTAATATTACTCTTAATTATGACCCTTTCCTATTCCTCCTCCAGCTCCGACCTCCACCACCAATGCCTCCCCCAATTCCACCTCCCCTATCGCTACCGACTTGATGGCGCTTCTTCTCTTTTTTATTCTTATGGTGGCTTCCACCACCACCAGCCCCTCCACCTTTTCCAACACAGTCAGGCTTCCCAAAATTAATTGCATTATTGGCAGGTTTTCTAGAGTACCATAACTATAACTGTATGATCCCTTCCCTCCAAAATTAAAACCAAACCTTTTTCCCTCTCCTCCAAACCCACCGCCACATTAATCCCACCCGGAATGTTGGGATTTCCTGCAGCCGGCACATCAAAGAACCACGCTGGTTTTTTCACCAACTGATTTCCATCATCACTATACATTTGTCCGCATGAGCATGATCATCTATATCTTCCTTATTCCCTGCACACACGACTCAGACATCAAGCTCGTCGCCCTGGCCACCTACAAAACTTGAACTCAGATTATTTTTTAAAAATCTCAATTGTTGAAATAATTAGTTTGTCTCGATATTTAATTGTTATATCATCAAATTTTTATCAAAATGTCGTTAATATTTGATCCATATGTCATAATTGATCATTTTAACATATTTGATTTATGATCATTTTAGTCGATTCCTACGCAAACTTGACATTTTAGAGTTTCAAAAAGTCAAAGAAAATTCACCTTTTGAAATTCTGCCTTAGAGAAAATTCAAGCATGCACTCAACAATTTCTGTTTTTGATAACAACGGAGAAACTCAGCCCTAAACCCCAAGGAGAATTCAAAGCAGGGCTGAAATCCTAAACTTACACCTACGTGGATTCCACTTTTATCTATACATGCATGCATTGTAGCACCTTAATTAAATTGTTGTCACAAAGTTTGAAACAACCACTGCATGAAAAATATGTACCAAAATGACTAGGAAAAGCATTCATTGCCTTTTTCTCATTATTGCTGGTTCATATTGGTCAGGGAATTTAAGCTAAAATAAGATTGCACGGTAACGTTATATTTTGATCAGGGTGTTATCTCAAGGATTTGAACCCTCACTAGCAATAAGATCAATGATATTACTTTTACCATTGGCTTTTCTTCCCGATAAAAAGCCGTACATGGCAAATTGGCAATAGGCAGCTCCATTAACATATACGACATGGATATATATATATATATATATATATATATATATATATATTATGATCCCTCGGATGATACATATACAAGTGAGAAGGTATGTAAATTTGATTATATTAATTTTAGAAGCAATATTACATATTGATACAGGAGTCCTTCAAGGCAATAGTTAATGTAGGTAAACAAAGCATTAATAGAATGCATGTAGATAACAGAGTCAAGATTAACCAATGTCTTCAGCACCATACAACTTTGAACTCATAAGAGTTTATGATGTCGTTACTTTGGCTCAACATACATGGTTGAATAGAACACCAGTTTGACATAATCATGCATGTCCATTGTCAATAATGCCTCCAACATTTAATACCACCTCTGCCGCACCCGCCAAACCCTCATCTTCCACCTCCAACACCACCATCAAAATCCTCTACCAGCACAGCCACCAAATCCTCCCCCCAACTCCACCCCTCACCAAAACCTCCTTGACTAGCATCAGCACCACCGCCAAAGCCCCCACCACTGTCACCACCTCCAAAGCCACCACCAGCCCCACCATCCATGCCGCCACCTGCATCACCACCAATCCAGCCACCAAAACAACAACCAATTCCCCTACCACCACCATCACCAAAGCCTCCACCTACACCACCACCACCAATGCCTTCACTAGCACTCTCTTCCTTTCCACTGCCCCCACCAGCACCGTCACCAATATCCCTTCCTTTGCCAATGCCGCCACCAGCACCCCCACCTTTTCCAATGCCAACATTGACGCCCCTTCCTTTGCCAATACGTCAGCCACCTTTAATTATGCAAATATACTACTCTTACTATCCAGTTGTATCATCATTTGTACCATCTCTCTTTAATAAAGATGTGTCCCACATGCATTGGCGGGACCTATCTCGGTTAGAGAGATGGTACATATGATGGAAGAATTAGGTCTCGTTTGGCACACCATATAGGACACCAGATAGGACTATTTTATACGAATCCGATGTTTGGGGCATTTATGCATTAAATAGCCACCGGATAAATAAGCAGCCCATCTTTATTAGTACAATCCACGACGTACTAACAAGCCAGTCCAAAAGCCATGTATAATTTAGTCGGGTTCAAATATACTGAACACAATCCAAAGCCAAGCCTCGCATCATCATCATCTTCCTCTTCGTGCTGCCCGTTGGCTCGTCGCCTTCTACATAGGCACCAACCCATAATCACCATTTGAACCTATTATGTGAAGTCCATAGCAGAGCATCTAGTTCTTCACTCACTCAACATCGATTTCGTGATTCCAGTTTTTGATATGTCGATCTGAGTTCTCCCGGTTCCACCATTCAATTCCATCCCCAACAACTCCATCGAGCTCTCCACCTCTAGCGAGACCAGTACTATCGTCGCCGAGAGGGTTTGATTTGACAGACCCACCCCTTTCCCGTCTACCTACCCTATTCGCCTATTCCCCAGTTATTTTCCTTCTATTTACCCTTTGCTTTTCCAATTTTTTTTTTTAATTTTATGTATTTATTTAGTAAAATTATATTTGGTTTTCTCATTTTTTTTTTTTTTTTTCATTTCAACATCAATCATTCTGTAAAATGTTTAGAAAATTATTATAGTCCAACAAATTATCCGACACACAGATTAATCCGATACTGCACCAAACAATTGATTAATTTAGTCAATACTATCCGATGACTATTTATTTGATCCGATTGAAGTAGTCAGTCCAAGCTGTCAAACGAGACCTTAGGGGCCCGTTTGTTTGGCTTCACTAAACTTCCTTGACTAGACTGGACTGTAATCCGGTTTTTGTTTCACACGAGGACTACGTTTAATGAGACTCGCCTCGACTGAGTCCGACTAACAACTTTGCTACAGGGTCTTAGCGAGACCCCCCGAAATTGGGCGGACTGCTAAGACCACTCTACTCCGCTTCGTCCTCCCATCTACCTTTTCCTCGCATCCCACAACCCATTTCAAACCCAGATCCTGCAAAATCCGAAACAAAAAAGCAACAAAATTTCCCAAGGTTCCCTTTTTAGAACTAGATCCAACTCCCAAAATTCGAACCCAGATAACCCTGAAAACCAAAAAAAAAATTTGCAATGGATGAGCTTGAAAATTTCACCCAGAAAACCCAAACCAGATCCAATCATCATCTTATACCTTCGAGCCAATCACACATGCACCTCACCTCCATCAATTTCTTTCTTGCTATGTATTTTGATTTTAAGATTTGCAACTGATTTTGTGAGAGGAAGTGAAGAGGCGGGAGGTGGAGAGGAATGAGGAAGCATAGAGGATTTGCTTTGGAAATATCGGTCTGCTCTTCAAAAAATAAAGGCTGTTCTTCTAAAATAAAAGTAAAGGCAGGCAAATGAAACATTAATTAGGTTTTTAAAAGTTAAATAACTACAAATAATATTTTAAATTTGTTGTTTTGTTGTTTTTAAACACAAAAGTAAATAAATAATAATAATAATAATAAATAATTAGTGTGTAGTTTTGTCTGATATTGCACCAAACGTTTCACTAAACTAGTCCAGCTTAGTTTAATCTAAGTCAATCCGGCTTAGTCCCTAAAACTAGTCTAGTTCGAAATAATCCGGTGCAACAAACGCACCCTAGATGGTAAGTGTAGCATTACTCTTAATTATGGCCCTTTCCTACTCCTTCTCCAGCACCAACCTCCACCAATTCCTTTACCAATGCCTCCCCCAAATCCACCTCCACCATCGCGACCGCCTTGATAGCGCTTCTTCTCTTTTTTATTCTTATGGTGGCTTCCACCACCACCAGCCCCTCCACATTTTCCAACACAGTCAAGCTTCCCAAAACTAATTTCATTATTGGCAGGTTTTCCAGAGTACCATAACTATAACTGTATGATCCCTTCTCTCTCCTCCAAACCCACCGCCGCATTAATCCCACCCGGAATGTTGGGATTTTCTGCAGCCGGCACATCAAATAACCACTCTGGTTTTTTCACTACATGATTTCCATCATCACTATACCTTTGTCCGCATGAGCATGATCATCTATCTTCCTTATTCCCTGCACACACGACTCAGACATTAACCTCGTCGCCATGGCCACCCACGAACTTATCCGACAGCTGCATTGCTACATAATAACTCGAGGATCTCTATTGTTTGATAGTTGGAAGTTGGGATGGCAGACGGTAGTAGTAGCAGTAGTAAATTAGTAATGCAGCATGTAATTGCCCTGCCGCTACACTTTACAACACGATGAGGAAGTCAGAGTTGAGTAAGTTTAGCTCAATTCCATGCTCTGTTACGTGATTGGCTTAACTGTTATTTTTGCATGGATAATGGTAAGGAGGTCAAATTTCTAAACCAAATTGCAACCAAAATGTGCATCACCAATAGGAAATAAGCACATTGATCAGCACTTAAGTAACAATCCAATCATCAACAATCATATCATTTGGTTTACAAAATTTGATTTAAAAATTTAGTCTCCTTAACGTTACCATTTTTTGCATTACGCACCTTGTGACTAGGTTTTATACCATACGTATGTACTCGCGGACCACTGTCATGCATCCAATGCATCCAAATATTTTGGATGCATGACAGTGGTCCACACAATGTCATTTCTTTCCTGCACTTGAGTTTGATTATCTTTTTTTGTAATTTAAATATATTCATATCGTTTGTGAAAGAAATTTAATTCTCAACTCGTTTCCTTCGTTTGTTAAATTACTATTTCTCTTTAGGGATGAGTTCAGTTTCATTCAGTTCGGTTTTGGCCAAAATAAAAAACATAAGTTAAATGAAGGAAGCGGGTACATTTAACAAACAAATGTAATCATATCATTCGAATAAGAAATGATCAACAAATATTTTAAATAAGAAAATGGAGATTTCGTAAATTTGAATTGGCACAATTTTGTTATAAAATAACCCAAACAAGTCACAACATAGATTCCCGCAAGCGTAAATAGTTAACCTCACTAGTTATATATAAATGAACTTTAATGAAAAATTCTCGATACTGTTCATTTTAACAAAAAATTATATTTTTATATTAAAAAGTCAATCATGATACTATTCACTTTACACTTTATTTTGTCCTTATTGTTAAAACTCAAAATTTTTAAATCATTTTCAATAGTTTTTCTTATATATAATTTGGCTGAGGTGAAACTGTGCATGAGAGCACGCAGACGTGATGATTGAACAAAGGATAAAATTTGAAGATTTTACTTGAGGTCATGCACTCCAAGTTCCAACCGCTAGTTGAGATTCATTTCATGTATTTTGATTGTTGATATATATGATAAGTTTTCATGATACAAGTTCAAGTTATCGCTGGAAAAAAACTGTACGGTATTGAATTACGAAATGAAAAATGCTAGGCTACTTAAGGATAAATAGAAATTTTTACTCAAAATTCTACGTGTTCGAATTATATAGCTTGGTATTTATGATCATTATTGTTCATATTATGAATCATTATGTAAAAATTATCTCTAAAAAAATAAATTAAAAATAAAATCGTTTAGTCAATCTATTGTAGCAAATGCATAAAAAAATCCGTTCATCTGTTTTTATAAAGTTCAATGAATAAGCCACCCTAGTTTTAATTGATTTTTTTTAAATACAACCTATATAGAGTAATTTATAATATAAAGATTTCTAACCATAAGCGCATGATTAATTATGAATCGGCAACGATTAGTCCAACGTTCAAGACTAACAATGGGCGCCAATGTCCATCAATGAGTGTCCCATAAAAGGTTGGGACCGTCAACCTTTCCCATCCATCTGCATTTACAAACACATTCGGGTAAACCCGAAACCTTTCGATCTTCTAAGCCACCAGCCAAATTAGGGTTTTTGTTTCAGCTCTCGGAGCTTATCCCCCTTCCCTCTGATCTCTCTCAATTGTAAATTCGAATTCATCGGAAACAAACAATCTACAAAATTACATTACTTTTCAAATTTTCCCACACAAAAATCCTCAATTTTTTTGCGTCATTGGGTATTAGGGTTCGACCTGCTGTGAAGCTACCGATTTTGTGCTCCAATGGACGACATAGTAGACGATCCAAGGTACCATCCGAAATCCTACTCTGCAAGCCACCATAACTCCTCTGGTCGCCGTAAAATCCATATCCGAAACACCCAATATGCTCGTCCGCTTCTTAACCGATACGCGGAGGAAGACGACTACGAATTGGACGATTTCGACGAAGGAAATGGCCGGGAAGACCAATACAACGACGAAGAAGACAAGCACAGACATGGGTTTAATCGGAATTTTGACGCGGAGGAAGATTTTGAGAGGCTTCCAAAGAAGAGGAAGGCGAAGAATTTGGAATCAAGGTACGAGTTTGCACCTCGGGTGATGCCGAACTGGGAACCGGGTTTTCGGTCTGAAGAGGAGTGGACGGAGCACGCGGTGTTTATGCTGCTGGAGGTTTGGGGTGATAGGTTTCTTCAGCTGGGGAGGAAGAGTTTGAGGTCTGATGATTGGCATGAGGTAGCATACAAAGTCTCAGAGGCGTTGAAGATTGAGAGGACCGACGGGCAATGTAAGTCGATGTTGGATATGCTTAAGAGGAAGTATAAGAAGGAGAAGGAGAAAATGGAAGAAATGGGGTTGAACTCTAGCAAATGGGCTTACTTTAAGAAGATGGAGATGTTAATGGCATCGTCGTCGAGGCAGGAATTTGGGCTTGCTTGTGGGATTGATTCTGGGGAGTATGTGTTTATGAACACAAGGGTTTATTTGGAGCGGTCGAATGGGTTTGATGAGATGAGGGATAGTCCTGGTGAGTCAGAGACAGATGATGATGAGAATGGGAATGATGATTTCGATGTGTTTCCACCAAGAATGGCAGGGATGCATGGAGGGGACGGGGATGAAGGGTCTTCGTATAGAGTGTTGGCGGATTCAATTCACAAGTTTGGGGAGATTTATGAGAAGATTGAGAGTAGTAAGAGGCAGCAGATGAGGGAATTGGAGAAGATGAGGAAGAATTTCAACAAGGAGTTGGAGTTGCAGAAGAAGCAGATTCTAGAGAGGGCGCAGGTGGAAATTGCGAAAATTCAGGAGGCAGATGACGATGATGAGACAGATGTTTCTGTTGAGGATCTCAGTGACTGATGCAGGTGAGGGTGTGTGGTATCTGTCTTTTGCTTCAACTTAGTTGGCAACTGAATTGGTTGCTACAATTATTCTCTAGATATAATTTTTGTGAGATTATTGTTTTATGATATGCTAAGTTTGCTCTGATTGTATAATTTTATGCCTCTAACATTGTGATGCTTGCTCCCAAGAATTAACGGATTGGTTTTATTCCTCTGTTAAGTTATGTGAGTATATGTTTCATGGCATTTTCTCCGTTCGTTGAGTAGCTCTGTTTTGGAAAGAATTTGATTTACTTTGGCCCCATTTTTTTTTTTTTAATTACTAATGTTAGTATCAAAAACATTAAAGACATGATTTAGTATCAAAAACATTAAAGACATGATCTTAATGTTCTGCCTTCGAAACCCAAAATCCCACAAACAATGGCTTTCGTGGTTATGCAGAGGCTCATGCATTGTGTTCTATGGCTTCAGTTATGTTTGAGATGCGTTATTTTTTTGTATTTAAAGAGAAAATTGTTGGTGACCGCTATTAGAATTGATTTAAGAAGAAAAGAAACATTGATTCGGTAAATACTAAATGGAGAACGTACATGGATACAAGGGCAAGATACAACTTTGTTGTGTTCATGAGCCTTTAGACTGTCAAACATTAGAACTTGCTAGCCTCATGTTTTAGCGGATGATCCAAAATACAGGCTCGTTTGAAAGTGCTTTTAAAATGACTGAAACCGCTTTTGGTGAAAGTGTTTTTGGGTTCCAAAAGCACTTGAAGTTCTTGCAGGAAGCACCTCAAGTGCCTTTTCAGGATTCACTTGCATTATTTTACTAGGATTGGTTTCAAAAGCACTTTCAATCATTTTGAAAACGCTTCCAAATGAGCCATACACTTGTATCAGTCCTATGTGTGCTTCAGAACAAGATGTTAACATACTCTTCAAGGTTGAATGTTATCTTGAGATTTAGGAAAGCATCTTCTTCTTGTTGATGAAATTTCTGAATTTGTCCTAATTTCTTGTCTCAGGACATATTATGATCGAGAAGGAAGGGGACATCTAATCGCTGTTCTCAACTGTTTTGGGGATTAACTTGCAAGACATTCATCTCCTGTTATCCTTCAGTTTTATCAAATTATTTTTATTTTTGAATATGTCACAAAATCGATTAAAATTTTTATATCTAAAATTTTCTACGAAGACTCATAAATATTTTCTATTGACTTTTTTAAGTGAAAAATAAGAAAAATTCATATTTATTACAAACTTTCTTCTGGAAACAGCTCCTCCTTGATTGAAGGAGCAATCCATTGTATCTGAATATGTGTTATGTCCCAAAGATCATCACCCTCCTTCTGCACTAATATCTCCTTCGCCTTCATCTCCGTAATCATCTTTCTCAACAACTCCGGCACAATTTCCGGCAGTTTTGATTTGCCATATGCTCCCAAATCCGCCTTCATACATGTGTCCATCCTTCTCAACACTCCCAACCAAAATGTCCGAAAGCTGCTGCATTGGGAAATCGGTATCAGAAACTGCAAGTACACGTCTGTTAGGAGCTCCAATGCAGTCTTCAAGGTCCCTTCCATGCCTCTCATCTCTGTCTCTGCGTTCTCTCTTTGCAAGTACTCCAGCATCTTTTCGTGCAGATCATCCACCATCGCGAAGATAACAAGGTTCAAACAGTTGGTACAGTTGGTTGGTGTGAATTCTAGTTCCTCAGCAAGTTTGAAACTTTTTTGAACCGACAAGACTGCATGGTTTCTTATTTCTTCTCGCCGAGCTAGGCTGATCTTTTGAAATGCCTCCCCTAGCTTGACAAACAAATTCACGGCAAAGTTGTTAGAGCCGAAACCTTTTGAGTCTTCTAAGGAGGAGTTACTCGTGTTGCTCGCGATGCTGTAATTGTTCCCAGGATCTGAGTACTGATTTCTGTACCATTGGATCAACAAGTTTACAGAATCTGCTAACAGGTCAAGTATCTTCAAGTTCTTCTCCGACGGGCTGTTTTTTAGAGCAATAAAACCAAGGGCACAGTCGATGCAGTAAGCGTAATTTGTCTGCAATACATGGGTTCCATCAGACATCATCATCATCAGAGTCTCAACTCCCTGCTAATAGGTGTCAGGGTGTCGCCCGGAGACTGATAACAAGTGGAGAACTGACTTCCATCCGAGTTGGGTTTGCAAATTGGCAGGGTACTCAACGAGAATCTTGTTTACTGATTGTGTAATGGACTCACTGCAGGTGTCGAGAATTTCTTTTTCCAGCTTCCACATTAGATTTCTCGACTTGAAAATGAGCTCCTCAGGGATTCTGTCAGGTCGGTACCAAGGAGCTTGAGACAGACCTTGAAGAGGCCTACAATGGCTTTTTCGGAAAATGGGATTGGGGAGAACATGGGAAACTTAGCAACCGCCAGCAGATAACCATGAAAACTCAACCAAAATGCTTGGAACCTATGGACGTTGGCCAAGGAGATGGCAACTATCAAATCCCAGCAGAACCCAACGGTCTCTTCTTCTTCTACGGGTGTGCTAAACTTCTGCCCTTTCCCTGCAGCTGCATATATTAGCGAATGCCCGAGGTTGAGCAAAGAGTCCTTGGGAAAGTTTGAACTAGTGCTGAAGATGTCCCCAATTCGGCATTGTTTGATAACCTTCAGGTTCTGTTCAAATTCACTCATGCCAAGAGATGCAGCATCTTCCGGACTCTAGTGATAGAAGATGTGAGAATCGACTAATCATGCCAGAAGCTTGTTGTCCTCCAAATTTGGGATCGTGAGCAGGAAAGATTATGCCCGATTCAGATGTTGGTTAAGCATCAGATGAGGTGGAAGCAGCATCAAACTCAAGGACATTTTGGGGAAGTAGGTTAAGCCTCTTGAGTTTCAGCAAACAGTCCACAATGTTCCTCCAACCCCCTCTGATCGACTCTCCAAAGTTGTTTGCGATGGTGAGAATAGCTAGTGTAGCCATTCTTGGCATCAAATCTTTGCTAAAAGCAAAGAGTGTTTCTTCCGCAGAGGCGTGTGAATCTCGAGAAGGTGGCAATGAGCTCATCGAGTGTGTCCTCCGGGCGGTACTGCGCTATCCTGGCTACCGAGAATAATCCTTCAATGCATTCATGGAGCAACTCCTCTTCTTCAGCTTGCTCGAAAAATGCAGAAATAGCTGTGACTAAAGGGCCATCAATGCAAGCAAACATGTCTCTGCCTAGCCGACGATCAAAATCACATAGAATGAAAGGCTGCACAGTTTTGGAACGGTTCATCAACTCAATCCATCTGCTCGGGTTCATTAGTACTGTCATACCGGATTGACCAAAAAGCGTGATTGCATTGTTCGATATGGATTGGAAAAGCTCGCACAGATACTCTCTAGGAAGATCCTTCCCTTCATTGATTGCCCAATTATTCCTGATGAACTCTTCTTCCGTCATCTTCTTCTTCACTTGCGGATTGTGCTGATCAGTATTGAGCATAATGAGAGAGTAGCAAAGAATGAATACAGTGTCTTTGTTCACGAAAAGATCTGCAGACTGCTGCTCAAAAAAACTCTCTGAAAACGCTTCGAGAATCCTCTGAATCTTCTGGGACTCTCCTGGCAAACGGAAAGTCTCCAGATAAGTTCGGAGAGCACTGTCAAGATTCATGCCTGAAAATCCAAGGGCTCCGGTGAATTCTTTAAGTACTTTGATGTGAAACTCGTCGGGATCACCAAGATAATCGTCTATCATCATCTTGTCAAGCCCAGGGGTGTAACGAAAGAAATAAGCCAAAGTCTTTGGATCCGGAGGGTAAGAGACTAGGTTGGAAAGCTTCAAGTATTCCATTCCCTTCTCGCGATTAAAATGGTGTCCAGCAATCAATGCTTTTCTCTTCTGCGCTTTCCTCAGCCTTACAAATTGCACCCAAACTTCTGAATCACCTCTCAGTTTGTCTTCCCAAAACAGCGTATACTCTGTGATCTCAATCGGGTAGGGTCCGGAAGGGCTTGTATCATTTTCTCTATCAATACTATCTGCAATGTTGTGGATCACGAAAACAAACCCTTCAAAGGCTTGTATTTGTAAAGTTTTCAAAGGGCTTGCGACCGGAAAAGACTGCTTGCAAAGCAACATCCCAATCTCCTCAAACACATTATGGCAAAGCGGATCACAGTCGTAGTTCACATAGACCTCTACGACGAACGTCAGTTGTCTGCAGAAATTTATAATCCCTTGCAACCTCTTGAAGTTGGATTGACACTCTGGGAGCTGAAACTCGAAACAGCACAAATGTGAAGAATGCTTCTAATTGAAGCCGAATGAATCTGCAAAAACAAAGCAAAGAATTCTCAAAATCGAAATGTGTTTAATTCGCAGACATCTCGAAATGAACCCGAAAACCTCACCTCTGAAGAAAGTGATACATGTTCAAAATCGTACTGCAAATCATGGAAAAAACAAGCGGGCTTGAACTCGTGCCGGAGTGAACCAAATGGTGAAAGAGATCATCTTTCATCATCCTCAACAACTTCGAATGAGACCCGATTCCATCCCCGCTCAACTCGATCGCGGAGTTGATCAGAACAAGAGCGAAAAGCTGCACATCCTCACCCCTGATCCGTCTCAACCACCTGAACCACGTTCAACAAAGAACACAAGAAGTGAAAAATATCAACCGCCCACCGGATCCCATACCCTGAATCCAAATTCCCATCGTCCGCATCGGCGTCTTCGGTGTCAGTACTCGCCGAGCCGTCCTCATCTTGGAAATCGATTTCTGGCAACCGCGAAAATTTGATCTGGATCAGCTCGTGCATTGTGTACCTCGCACTTCGCATGAGCAAGTCTCCTCTGTTCGCCGATTGCTGAACACCCTGAAAACAGGTGTTCACGATTGTGCAGATGGCCTGATCGGAGAGCAGAACCAAAGCGCGGTGGTTCATGATTCCGGTCAGGATTTGGAGGATGTTCATCATCACGGCGTCCTCGTTAACAGAGTCAGTTCTTCCAAGCCAGCACGTGGAGATGGAGGTGACCACGGTGTTAATAGCTTCTTTCGCCCCCGGAGTCTTCTCGTCGAAGACTCCGAGCTTGAGAATCTTCAGCGTGGCGGAGAGGGCGATGCGGGTGGCGGAGGCGTGGACGTGGTCGCTTTGGATGACATCTAGGAAGGGGGAGAGGTAGATGGAGGGCTCTATTGTGCGCCATTCCTGCTGGGGGTTGAGGATTAGGGCGCGGAAGGATTTTAGAGATTGGAGAAAGGAAGGGTCGATGATGTCCTCCGGGGGGCGAAGCAGTGGGAGGTTGGGTCCAGGGGACGGCGGACGACGGCGAGGACGGCACCAACTTCGGTGTTTAGCATGCACGACAATCCCAGCTCTTTCCTCTTGAGCTTTGTTTGCTTGTTCCGGCTCGATTTGCCTCTCATCACCGATCGGATCTTTCTCCATGCATGGCAGTCTCAGGGGAGGAAGGGAGAGAAGTTCGAACAAATTTCAAAAAACAGTTAAGTTAGTTGTGTGGTTCTAGTGCTGTGGAAGGACCATTTTGGGTTTTTCTGGTGTCAACTATCGACAGTGTTACTGAAAATGCAAGAGTGAGATAGGAGGGTGGTTTTGTCATTTGACAAAGTTATACAAAACCCGAATTACCCGGGAAACTTGATGTTTAGTTTTTAGTTAATTTGTATGGTTAAAGGAATTTGATAAGGGATGTGCTATCCACACTCCATTTTACTTCTCACACATCCCTTGATAATTTATGTCTATTGGTCTTTAATTCATCCAATCCGACGTCCTAAAATTAAAAAGATGTGTAAGAAGTAAAATAAGATGTGTGGATATCACACCCCTTTTGATAATTGATGATTTCCACCACAATTATCTCCTCCTTTTCTTCCTTTCCGTTAAGGGGAAACATTTCCGGATGCAGTTTAGTAAAATACGAAGTTACAACAGTCAGAGAGGCATCAAAACTCAAAGTTTTCACGCTGCTATCTATAGAAATCTCGTGCCCTTTGTCAGTTGCCCGATCGATACGAGCTCTTAAGTTCGTGCTGCAAACAAAACAGCACATCAAAACAATCTTCGTCATTGTAATTACCGGTCAGCGTGGCAGCTAGCAGGGTCTTCAGCCAGCTCTCGTGGAGAGTAGAAAACTCTGATCTCTGTTCGCTGGTCTTGAAACTTTGCCCAATGGATTTCTTCATTACTTGGCCGGCCTTTGAAGCAGCTTCGACCACCTGCTCTGGGATCCCAGCCATCATTGCTACTTGCAGTCCGTAACTCTCTGGGCATGCCCCATTGGTAAGGCGATAGAGAAATACCAGCTCTTGGTCACCTTTCGAAGGGCATGCAGATTTTGACTTGAAAGAACATGCCATGTGTTGTAATGTAACGTGTGGATGAGAAGCGAATTCCTTGGTCAGCGGGTGATAGTGAGTCGCAAACAATAATCTGCAGTTAATCTTCTCGACAAGATGGCGAAAGACCTGACCAACAAACAAAAACATAGTAATGAATCTATTGATACATAGCTATGGCATAATTATCAATAATATGATGGCCTTGTAGTAAAGAGCAAAGTAATCTTACAGCATATGCAATTGCGTATCCATCAAAAGTGCTCGTTCCACGACCCAATTCATCAAGAATAACCAAAGAATCTTGAGTGGCATGTTGAAGAACTGATGCTGTTTCTGTGCATTCCACAAAGAACGTACCTACAAAAGCAATTGAGAACACTTCCATGGTCAGATTTTGCAATTTAAGATCATCACAAAATTGTCTTTTCGGAGGTGATTCAGAATACGAAGAATAAAAGTAAAGGAAACGAGACTGTTGGTCTGCTAAAAAAGGCTTACTCTCGCCAGTCATGATACGATCAGTGGCACCAAGCCGTGTGAAGATGACATCTACAAGTGAGAGAACACATGTCTCACAAGGCACGTAACAACCCAGCTGCAAGACATCAATGAATCAAATGACTAAACATCAAAACATCTAATGGTCTTCACTGACCAACTTCTGGGTTTAAATTACAGAAGAAATCACTCAAGGCAAAAAGAACCTGGGCTAGTATAACAGCAAGACATGTGGCGCGAAGAATAGTTGATTTTCCACCCATATTTGGCCCAGTCAGTAGTAAAGTGCGTGGATGATGGCCATCTGTACCCTCACCTAGGACCATGTCATTTGGGACAGGCAGTCCTCCATTTTCCCCAAGAGCAAATGGATGCCATAGTCCTTTAGTAGCAAGTGTAGGACTTTGGTTCTCTCCATTCAAAGTCATATCTTCTGATTGAGGCAAAATAACAGGTCTGGACATGGTCCCAGATGGGAAACTTGCAGTAACAGCAAAAGATCTTAGTATATCAATACAGTTGATGGCATGTATGGCATCAGACCATTCTTTTACTTTCTCGATAAATAGTTCAATCAGGATGGAGAGTGTTTCGGCATGTGAATCAGTTGCCTCGTTATTCTGGCACCAAATTCAATGTCAGTATACTTCACAGAGGTTTAACTCTTGAAACTAAAATCAGAATCTTAGTCATGCAAAAAAAATTCATACAATATGCAGTACTAGTTTAATGATTATCCTGATATAGAGCAGTCCAAGAAAAGTCAAAAAGATAATACTGAAAGAAACTGAAGATTTATTGCACTTTTTAAACCATAAAAAAGGGACAACCAGAGAGAGAGAGAATTATTTAACAAAAGTTGTCACCACAAATAATCAATTAGCAAGGCTCCTGCTTGCACACTAACGGAAGAACTTCATTTGTCGTTGCTAGGACTAAAAAAAAGAAGTCTCTAGTTGTATGCTTCTCGGAAATCCAATAATAGAACACAATCGAGGAAATGAGATCTATGAAAGAGCAGAGTATTGACTATCAACGGAAATATATTACACTCGCTGACAGGAGTGTTCTACATAAACTAATTAACACCAAAGAAGAGAAATGGACACTTCTAATAGAGCAAGGTATGAGAATTGAAAAACGTATACCTGGTAATTTGGGAATTCACTATCTACAGCAGCTTCAAATTGGGTAAGATGTTGATCAAGCCCATCACTGCCACTCAGACTTGGAACTTTAAATACTTTTGATAATCGTTCAATGATATGCCCTTCATTCTGTAATAGCTTTAACAAATCCAATCCAGATCTCAGGCCCTTCACAAGAGTCCCAAACACTTTCACCTGTACAACATTAAAAGTTCGTGTTCGGTGTTATCTTTTCTTACCATACATTCATGGTTAAGGAGAATGGGTTGATAAAATCAATGGAATCTATTCTCTGAACACTCAAATTTGAACAGAAAAACATTTGCCATATTTTATAAAGTTTCAATATAACTTCCATATTAAAGTAGAAAATGCTTACTCTCTGTTTCAATACTTTTTTGCCAAACAACGGGAGTAGGAGAGAAGCTGAGGACTGAACACTTGCCCTAATCCGTCCGAGTAACCTTTCTAGGTCTGGAATCTTGCGAAGATATTGAGCAATAAGTGGTATCATTTCTGGATGTACCAGTAGATCTTCAACTACATCAAGCCTATTATTAATGGCTTCAACAGATTTCAGAGGATGGCAGAGCCACTTCCTCAAAAGCCGCTTACCGGATGATGTTACACAGTTATCAAGATATGCGTACAGTGTACCTGGTAAAAGATACCAAAAAGCACAATAAAAAAATGGACTCACTCAGTATTCTGGTTGAATTCAAGGAAAGGAGAACACTTGCCTGATGGACCACCATCAGCATTATTACTGAAAATTTCCAGATTTACCAGTGTCTGTCCATCCATTTTGAGGCAACCCCTATAAACTTGGTAAGGTAATATATCTCCATTTCGTAAAGCATCATCTAACTGCATAAGAAATGGAACGCATCAGTTACTTTATGGCAGACATATATTCACTGGATAATTATTTTTCGTTTTTGAAAGACATTTAAGTGAGCTTACCATCAACCTGGATAGATGGCCAATAAGAACGCCAAGTGCAGATAAAGTGATTTCATGGTGTATCTCACTGTCAAGTCCATGATTCCATGAATTGGAAGACCCTTTGAAGTACCCTTTCAACTGAATTACATTTCTAACTTCAGAAGCATCCGAAAAATCAGTGAGTGACTGCACTGGAGTCAGTTGCAGTGCAGCAGAACCTGCATGATAAACAGAAACGCAGTCAGAATCACCTACACCACTCACACACACATGCTCTCTCTATCTCGATCACTTGGATTTGTTTTCAATTGGGAAAAAGAAAAGGATATCTCGAACCTGTTGAGTACTTTTTTAAGGCTTTTTGAGCTTCTCTTGACAGCCCTGCGTAGATTTGAGGTTGTATGTTTCAAGTGATGAAATGATTTTCATGCATTAATATTGAAATCTGCCAAATATGTAGGCAGAAAGGGCATCGCAAGAATATTTACCTCTACTTTCATATATAACTTCTTTAGGTGACACCTAAATCAAACACCATCAACAAAATTAGAATATCAATTTTCAAGCCTTTGAAACTACTTCACTAAAGATACTACACAATGAAAAGAATACAAGAACATACTTGCATCAATAAAGCCCCCAAAGCAGCACAGGAGGCATCGTCACTTATGGCACCAATCCAGAACTTTAAAGCAGCACAATCAACAAAAGCAAATCCATATACAACTGAACCATTATGCACCTCAGAGCTCACCTGAACACACCAAACCAGGGAAGTGCATTTTAAATTCTATAATGCATAAAACACTTCTCTAGTAGCAAAAATATAGGAACTTGTAGAAAAAATGAAAATCCTTCAAGCCCATATACAAGGAAAAACATCGGAAGATGCTATGTGGCCAACTACTACATATGATATAAAGAAACTGCGAAAAATATGTCAGCTTTAAAATGGCCAGAATGATCTTAACAAAATAAGAATCTGTTTTGGTGCTTCCTTCTAACAACTCTAAGTTCACCTAAAAAAACAACTCCGAGTTGAATAACCATTGTGTTCATGGGTCTCTCAATTGGACCATATAACAAGGAAATTTCTGTGATCCGTAATGCTAGTAACATCACTTAGGACAAGGATTGTGAGGTATCAAACAGATTGCAAAAAACTTATGTAGCATGCACATTCAAAAATTTGAGATCAGGACGCTACAAACCTCTTTTAATGCAAGAAGATGAACAGCATCAGGCCCAATATTTCCGTCAGTTGTGGTTGATGGTGTGACTACCTGAACCAGCTTTCTCGGAATGACCTGTAAGACAGGGATTAAAAGTCAGACTGTGCAAGTACAAGGTCACCTAAACAATCACAAAGTGTAGAACTAACAATAATCTTTAAATCTTAGATTAACATGGCCAACTTACAGCTTTGGCACCTCTGGCTTTTGCTTGATCAGAAGTCTCCAGCTGCTCTATCCTTCCAACTTTATAGCTTCACAGAAGATGTAACAGATAACAAGTCAACTATGCTGTAGCAATGTAGGAAATGAGACAATTGCATATGACCACCTAGGATGATGTGATCAAAGGCATCATTCAACAAATAAATGCAGATGATAATCAAATCATTGTAAGACTAGTCAATCACATACCCACGCACAACCAGCTTTTCGACAGCATCATCAATCCCACTTTCAGAGATACCAACCTACATCATATGGGTGGAAATACTCGGGTCAACATATAGACATATAGTTCTAAAAGGATGATCAGAATAAGTAATGTGAATCAAACGATTTAGTGCATCAACTCACCTGACGACATTTCCCTACACCACTTAAGGTCATTTTCCAATCAAGCTCCTTATGGCCAATTTCAGCATCTAGTTCATAAAGCTCATAAAATTTTCCCTGAGGTTGATCACAAGCCATGAGATTAGGTAATGCAGTTCGAAAAACAAGGATTTAAACTTCGAAATCTGAATTGGATGAATAGAAATCATCCCAAAAGTCCTAGTACAACAAACTACACTTTCACAAACAATTACAAATTATATTAACTATAAGCACATAAGCAGTTGTAACTAACCACTTTGAAGAAAAGAACAACATCCATATATTGACACTTGACATCCCAATATTGTCTTTGCGATGCTGACATCTTCTTCAAAGCATCAGGTGGTATATACAGTGTTGTTTTGTCATAGAGAGGATCATCAGGCCGCCTTCTATTTCCATCTCTGATTCGGGACGGGTCAAGCCAGTCAAACTTGCTAGCCATGTCAGATGCTTCTCCATTACTCTTGTCCAAGGCTACTGCTGGCTCCTGAAGAAGTTTCACTCTTTTGCTAGAATTTTGCAACGGACCATCTAACTTATCCCCAAACTTCGGAATATCATCTTGAATCCGTTTCATTCGGGGAACCAGACGCTGTGCCCCAGGCGTTTCTGGCCCAACAATGTCACTATCAATATGCACAACAGAAGCTTCACCAGTTTTCTCATTGGAATTGGTAACATTTTTGTTAAATAGAAAATGTTGAGATGCCACTGCTTGTTCACACAATCCTTGAGGCTCGGTAAACTTACCAGACTCTGTACAACCGTTAGAGGAACCAGCATTTGATTGCTTCCTACAAAAAATCAAATTAAATTTATAAATTGATTGCAGAACTTGAACAGAAATTAAAACCCTAAACCCTAAGTTTATCCATAAATATATGTTCAAATTTTATAAAAATAATTAATATTATTGCGTATCATCGACCTTCATTAACCAAAATAATAATTAATAAATAATACCTCTGGCTCTGAGGAGCTTTTTGGGTATCATCGACCTTCATAAATTTAAGCATGATGTTGGCAAATGGAGACGACTCTTTCAGGCTCTCCACATTCACAGGCAAAATCTGACGTGGAGCCTTCTCCGGCGGAGTGTCGGTTCCGGTAACTTCAAGAGCCGCCGTAGTCTGCTTAGAAACGGAGGTCTTTTGTTCCTGCTGCGTCACCGGAAGCTGAGAAGCTCGGCGGCCGTTTGGTGCAGTTGCGGCGTCGGAGCTCTGCTTTTCGGGCGAGGGTTTCTTGAAGAAGGAGAGGATCGACTGCTGGCGTTGCATTTTTCCGATTCGCAGAGAGAGAATGCTGATTGCTGAGCGCGAATGTGGAACTGGAATTTATACCGAAATGTAGAATTGGCGCCACATATTGGGAGCGAAGTTAAATTGCGCGGGTGATTTTTGACCTAGGTGACACTTTACCTTCTGGCAAATATGCCCTCATCTGCAAAAACAACCAATTCGCAGCTCGCCACTTTGAAGACAACAGACATGGGGGCCAATTCATAAATAAAACTAGGGTAAAGTACAAAACATTATCTTAACTATTGGTGTCACGACACTTTCATACCTTATTTTTTAAAATTGACAATGTCATACCTCATCTTACGAATTTGTGCCAATATTATACCTTCCGTTAGCATGCCGTTAATTTGCAGTTAAATGCTCACATAGCTTAATCCAGACTTCACTTTCTATTAAAAAATTAATAAAATATAAAAAAAAATATTTAATATTTTTAAATATTAAAATAATAAATAAAAGTTAAAAAATAAAAAATAAAAAATAAACAAAAATCAAAACCTTTCGTCCCTTCCACCCCCTTCCCCATTCTCTTTCTCCCCATCTTCATCTTCTTCCCTTTTTTTTTTAGAAAACAATTGTGGCATTATTAATATAATGGTAATGTAAGTTCAGCCCGAACCCTACAAACTCACCAGAAACGTACATATGAATTCATCCTGCATTCAGACGCTAGCGAGTCTAATGGCACATTCATAATCCTTTGCACACGATTTTAGAATGCAAATTTGCCGCATAAATCCGAATTCAATTGTGTATATACACCAAAACCTCTCACTCTCAAAATGGACCTGACAAGTGTGACAGCAGTGATTAGAGCATACACAGATTCCATCAGGTTGCCAACATCCTTCCTTCTGAATAGAAAGCTGATGCCGAAATGATACAAAGGAACCTTTGCTTACCGAGAAAAATGATATATAGAAGTTGTTTGTATGCTCCAATCAATTCGCCTACCTCAATGCATCAACCATTCTGCAATCGTGTTTCTTACGCCGACATCTGTGATGGGACTTTTGATCCACGAATGTATTCTCCCCCACTGTCTCCATCATAGAATCAGCATCTCCAAATTGATCGCCCCAAAACAATACCTGAGTATCCTCCTCCTCTTCATCAAACTCATTGCCATAGCCGAACTCCACGTCCCTGCAATAACCCGGTTCACTGCCGTCCCCGGACTCATTCCCCTGAGCATCAAAACCCCTAGTGGGACCAAACCCAACACCCACATTCTCCTTCTCTCCATTACCCCCACCTCCATCTTTTTCCTTCCTTGATTTCCTCGCCTCACTCACATCCTACGCCCAATTCGCATCCCCATTCCCAAACAGCTCCCCACTTGAGTCCGTCCCCACCACTACCAGAAAATCTGAACACGTCCCATACGCCGCCGAAGCCCCAATCGAGCAGCACATCTGGGTCCCACTCTGCTCACTTCTCATCCCGGAAACCGACCTCGACCCATGACGCCGTCGCTTCTTCGCGATGAACCGGAAGCTCCCGTTCCTGGTATGGTGTCCGCTGGAGATCGTCCTGTCGTCGTCGACCAAGGTAAGCCGGGACATGTCGATGGCATTGATAGAAAAATAAGTCGTCCTGTTGGAGAGGCAGGGGCGCTTGGTGTGGACGAGGAGGCCCTTGGATTTGCGATCAGCGGAGTCTAAGGTTTTGAAGGTGGGCGTGGAGGTTTGCTGCTGTTGCTGCTGTAGTTGGAACGCGCAGGAATCGACGGAGTGCCGTGAATCCAGGGATTTGTGTGACAACCCCTGCATAATCTTCAACCAAAAAAAAAATTTGAAAACCCATCAACCCCCAAACCCCCCGAAGAAGAAGAAGAAGAAGAAGAAGGAATAAGGATGAGAAAAAGAAGAAGAAAAACAAAAAAAAAAAAAAAAAAAAAAAAAAAACCCAACCCAGTTCTCCCCCCCCCCCCCAAAAAAACAAATCCAACCCCTTGCAACCCAGAAAGAAAAAAAAATGAGGAGGAAGAAGAAGAAATAAATAAATAAACCCATATCCCATTCACCAGGCCGATTTCGCGAGGGATAGGTGCGAGGTTAGGTGGGTGCAAGGGTGGGTGCGGAGAGTGGATGCGAAGGGAAGACGAACTGGGATTTTTTTTTTGGGTTGCAGGTAGGGGCTCGGGTTGGGGGGGTGGGGGAGAAGAGAGAAGGACGCCGAGCGGGGGGGATGGGATGAAGTTTTGTTTTTTTTTTTCTTCTTCTTCTTTTGTTTTCTGGGTTGCAGCATGTAGATGGGGGAGGGAGGGAGGAGGGAAAGGGACGAAGGCTTTGTTTTGTTTTGTTTTTTTTACTTTTTTTTATTATTTTAATATTTAAAAAATATTAAATGATTTTTTTTTAGTTTTTAATAATATTTTTTTAATTTTTTTTAATAGAAAGTGGGCTCTTAATCAAGTCACGTCAGTATTTAACTGAGAAATTCATGCCAAGCTAACGGAAGGTATAACATTGACACAAATTCGTAAGATGAGGACATTGTCAATTTTAAAAGATGAGGTATGAAAGTGTCGTGACACTAATAGTTGAGGTAGTTTTTTGTACTTTACCCATAAAACTAATATATAAAGTTGGTTTTACCCCTTTAATATTACAAACATGCAAGGGCATTATAGGAGTTTTGGCGTTTTTTTTTTTTTTTTTTTGATGAAGTTTTGGCGTTTTTTATTGTGCTATATTTTGAACCGCTGAGGTTTACCCTCCATTTTGAATGAGTAATTAGCTTCCAATTTTCTCAAATACTATAATTATTATTTGACGGTAATTTATGAGAACATATGTATTTAATATAATCATTATCTGTATTAAATACATGCAAATATTATAATCAAATCTTAAATTGCAAACTGCTGTTTTGAGTTTTTGACATTGTGTGAATTTGCGACTTTATTAGGTTGATAGTAGTCAACTGTGAAAGACGTACTCCTTAAACCGTTAACCTTCCTGCATAGAACACACATTAAGGCCATGACGTGTAGTGATTTTCAAGACTCATTTTCTTCTTTTTGCATTTTTTTTATGTTTTAATTTTTCTTTAATTTATTAAATTCTACGACTAAGAATAACATAAGAGTGTAAAGGAAGAAAAAGAGAATGAAAATTATTTAGATTCGAGAAAAGTTGTAAATCAGTTGAATGTCAAAACAACGGCTACCATTTAAAAAATTAAAACCTCGTAATTTTGGCAAACTCCAAATGTTGCTCATCCCACTTTCCATCACTATAAATACTCGTTTAATTACAAAATCGGTTTTTTTTTGGCTAAAAAATAGAAATTAATTTATAAAAGTTACTTTTGTGAGCTTTCAAATTTTGGTTGGTATTGAAATAAATTTTTATCTTTATAAAAATTAAAATTGGTTTCCAAAGAAAATTTTAAAAGTTTTAAACAATAAAAACTACAAATAAAACGATTATCAAACGGTCACCTTCTTCAGTTTATTGTATCTGAATCCAAAACTTTCTTTTTCTCCGTAGTATTGAAAAACTCAATGCAAATTATCCTATTATTTGTAAATTAATTTTAAAAAGGAGCCATAAGTTTTACAACATTTTTTTTGCCAATAATTAGATGAGTTTTTTAAATTTTTTCAGGGAAGAACGGAGAAAGGTGTTGGGGAACCCTCGCGCTACAAGAGTTCTTAGATTTTCACTATCACATTAGCCTGCCTTAAATTTTCAAATTTTTATTTTTTAAATTTTCAGCACATATTGAGCATTGAACTCCTCTCTCGCACGACAAGCCGTTGAGACCTCAAACTCTTAAATATAAGAATCTTCCAGCCAAGCACCAATGGTAGACAGCCACGTTTTCAAGCAAACCAGCATTACGCGGCGAGGGACAACCGGATAAGAAAAACCGGTTCCACATTAACCGCCCACGAATTTTCATTTTCCATGATAAAATATCTAAACAGAACCTTTGAGAACGTTCCAGAGTTTTACCCCGCTATAACTTGCGCACCAATCTTCACCGTCCTCATCATCTTCTCCACCAAAATCCATAACCTTTCTCTCTCTCTAGATATCCGACAAATCTCCGACGATGCTGAGCCGAAACCCAGGAGTTATCGTCCAGGACTGGGAGCCGGTGGTCCTCCAGAAGAAGCCCAAGTCCAGTGCCCTCCGCGACCCGAAGGCGGTGAACCAGGCGATCCGGTCGGGCGCGCCGGTCCAGACCATCAAGAAGTTCGACGCGGGATCAAACAAGAAGACGGCACCGGTTGTCAGCGTGAAGAAGCTCGAGGAGGCGGCCGAGCCCGCGGCGCTGGACCGCGTCTCGACGGAGGTGCGGCTGGCGATACAGAAGGCGCGGCTGGAGAAGAAGATGAGCCAGGCGGAACTTGCGAAGCGGATCAACGAGCGGCCTCAGGTGGTGCAGGAGTACGAGAACGGGAAGGCGGTGCCGAACCAGGCGGTGCTGGCGAAGATGGAGAGGGTTCTGGAAAAGAAGCTGAGGGGCAAAGTTGGGAAATAGAAAGTGTCCTGTGTTGAAGGTTAAAACGACGGCGTATTAGGGTTGTTCTGTGTCGTGAACGGAGTGGTGGTGTTGTCAGTTGTGTGGGTGCGTGTGTGGTTCTGTTTTTGTTGTGTGCTCAAAACTGTAAGGATGTACAAAGAGGCAAAGATATGTACTAGGCTAAACTCGCCAATGGACTTCATGAAATTAATGGAATCTGATGTTTTCGTTGCGTTTTTTCTGAATACATCAATATTTTTACACTAAGGAGAGGAAGAGGTTGGTTAAGCCACATAATAAGCAGCTTAATTTGATATCGAATTCGTTATTCACGAGATTCAAACTTAAGATTCTTTTACTTTCAAGCGAAGATGAATACTTTTAATTTGGTATCGAATACGTCATTTACGAGATTTGAACTTAAGATTTTTTACTTTCAAGCGAAGATGAATACCAGTAAATCGTAATACTGGCATGTTTTCGTTGGCTTAATAATACGGTTTTTGTTGTTACGGTTTGATATAATCAACAATTTTGATTGGGTTGGTATTGTTGTGCTTTAAAAAAAAACTGTTTGTGCTGTGTTGTGAGAATAAGCTCATTTTTGCCGTTTCACATTTTCAGCTTTTTTTACCCAAAACTGTGAAAATGAGCTTTTTTTTTTAAGTGGTTACCAAAAACTTTTTTGAGCTCAGCTTTTTTTTATGCT